ATAGAAGCTGCTGTATTTCAAATTAATCTTATGTTATTTATTAATGTCAGGTACTTTAACTACATTACTTTTATTCTTGCTCCAAGATGTCTGAGTCCTCTCATTTATGGCCTTAGAGATGAAATGTTCTTCCATGCACTGAAATACTTTTATAAGAAACCAGGGAATTTATTTTGATTTAATTAAAATAATTATGTTACACTGCTAATATAACATGTTTACATGTATCTCTGGCTTTATTTACATTGTTATTTTACAGAAAAATGTTATTAAAATTAATTGAAATTGATCTTTTTGCAACTACCTACAAAACTGCTAAAAAAATAAATAATAGATATTTCTGATGATGTTGATATTTGCCACCTGTGATTATATTGCACTGATGAATATCCCATCCTATTCCCTGTACATTTGCTTACAATACATTTAAGTGATTCTCTTTTCCTGTGTGATTACTTAGTGTTTTTAATTTAATATGATTTCACATCTGTAACAAACCAAAACTACACTCTTTTCATACTCAAAGATACGTGATTGTACTCACATTTTAAAACCAGTTATAAAAAACATAATGTTACATGTTACAATAAATGTATAAATAAATGTTCTTATGCTTAATATTGTGGATGTGTGCCTGTTTCATTAATACTGTAACCCCTGTTATCCGTTGCTCTATGAATTGTACATTTTCTACCAGGTAGGTGCACTTTGTATTTAGTGTTGATTTGCTAATGTTAACCAATATAAACCATTAACATATATTGTCTTTATCTCGATTTTAAACATTTGAGATAAAATATATGTTTAATGATTGCAATCAGTCTCTACTGGAACACAATTAACATTGGAATTGCATTTATTTTGTCATAAGGTTATAATTGATAAAAAATCCACTATACTCAAGACTTGGGTAAAATAGATCATGCTTATCTTGGAAAAAATGAATGAAGACCATTCAATCTGTCCATTCTTAGACAAATATGTCTGTGGGGCTCTTCCAGTGGCTGACATACATGAAGTACATACATGTGTGGGGTATAGTAGCATGTGTGCTCAATTGCTTTTTTTGTTTTTTGGGTATTTGTTTATCACAGAAAATAAGCTAAGGCCATTAAGTTTTCGTCTTGTAAAAATTTGAAATGTGTCAATTTGATCCGAATACCATACTAGGGTTAAATTAAAGTCTTGGTAAGGGTTTGGGAAAAATATTGCGTTTACAGTTCGTATTTACTGAAAGTCTGTTTTAAGACACAAGCTGTTCTTGCGTATCCACCAACCTGACCTGCACAACATGGATCAATCACTTGAAAAGAAATAGCTGTTCTATAATCATTTTGTCCAAAAACTAATTTGGGAGAAATATTGAGTTCACTCAGAGACTCTGCAGCATTTGATGTATCTAACATCTATATACAGATAATAAAACAGACTTTAACAGACTAAATATACATAAAATAACATCGTAACTGAATAAATGTGTAAAATGTGCTTTAAAAATTGATTGTTTTTAGTTAACAGACATTTTGGGGAAGCTTTTCTGTCAAAAATAAAAGTCAGACGTCACACTCCGAGACCCATTCAGAATGATTAAGCACGTTCCAGTCAATCCTATAAAGTGTCCATACACAGACCAGAAGTCTGCACACAGCTCAGCACAAGAGAAGACTGTGTGCCAAAATGCAGGTAACACGTAACGTGTTCAAAGATGGTTTGAGATTGGATTCGGGTATAAATGTAATAGGGCGGTCATCTTATTTTAATATCAGATGGTATGTCTTAAAACGTTTTATTTAGTATGGCACTTAACAACTCAATAGCGGGTGGTGAGTCATTGCAGCGTCAGATTAATGACCAGGTCATTATAGTGCAGATAGTGGTGGTCATTTTCCTTTGCATCAACTTGTTGCTAATTGTGACTTTTTTTTCAAAAGAGTTCTTCTACACAACAATGCGCTACATCTTATTTGCTGTTACACTACTGTCTGATAGCATAATATTAATTATATCTGATATCCTGCTAATTTTTAGCTATTTTCAATGCACTATGCAAGTTGGCTTATGTGTTGTTTTCTATATTATTTCTGTGTTATGCACTTTTGTCACACCAGTTACTCTGACAGCAATGACGCTGGAGCGCTACGTGGCCATATGCATGCCCCTGCGCCATGCAGAGCTGTGTTCCACACGCAGCACTATGCACTGCATCCTCATCATTCACAGCCTCAGCTTTGTACCCTGCATTGTTATTGTGTCTACCTTTGTTGCAACAGCCTCTCATAGCTTGTATATGCAATACAGGAAATGCTCCATGGATATGTTTGTCTTTCTCCAATGGCAGAATCATGTTAAATTAGCTGTATATCAGTTTTACTTCTTGATCATGTGTATCATCATTGTATTCTCTTATGTTAAAATAATGAAGGTGGCCAAAGCTGCATCAGGAGAAGATAAAAAGTCAACAAAAGGGCTGAGAACAGTAATTCTTCATGCTTTCCAGCTGCTCCTCTGTCTCATCCAGCTGTGGTGCCCATTTATAGAAGCTGCACTGCTTAAGATTGATTTAATGTTATATGTTTATGTCAGGTACTTTAATTACATAACATTTATTCTTGCTCCTAGATGTCTGAGTCCTCTCATTTATGGCCTCAGAGATGAAAAGTTTTTTCTTGCATTAAAATACTATGTCAAACTTGAATTTCACTGCGTAAAAAGCAATATGCCGATTGGTTTTGTTTGACAAATTAGTGTCATGATCTGATACATGCATCATCATTGTGGATTGTTTGGTTTAGGAGTTGCTGGATCATTGTTGTTATTGTCTGACCCAATTTACCAACTTTGATTATGAGTGTAATATTGCATTCAATGAACATCTGCTGCAAGGTCAACGTGCAATATGTGATGGCTTTTGTTCAGGAAAATCACAGTTGCGTGAATAATAACTACACATAAACCTGAGTTGTGGAACATCATACTCTGCAACATTGACAGGTCAATATGGCACATTATTCTGCGCTCGTCAACAAGTGATTCTGCTCTTCTGCTATTTTCTAACCAAATGTACAGCGAGAAAGGACCATCTTGCGATCATCGCAATGAGAGGTTTCTCTCTTTTCTGCCTGTGTGTGCCTGCTCTCTGTTTAGACACAACTGACAAATATGTGAAATAAGTAGATAATTAAAAAAATACAATCACAAACAGCAGTGATAGTGTTTGTAATGAATATATGGATGGGCAGATTTCATCGTGGGGGTAAAAGACTTGGGGGAATTGAGCCTAAAGCTGAACACGGTTGGCAAACATGAGATGTATATTTAATTGTTTATCAAAATCAGATAATTTAACATATTTTTATATTGTTTATAATTCAATTCAGTTCAATTTTATTTTTTTTGTATAGCGCCAATTCATAACAAAAATTATCTCAGGACACTTTTCAAATAGAGTAGGTCTAGACTGTACCTCTAATTAAATTAGAGGTAAAGAGAGAAGGGCAGAGACAGAGACAAAGGTGCTCAGCAACAATAATAGCAACAACTATACTAATAAAAATGACTTATAATGATGATGATGATGATGATTTTGACAACGACGATGATGACAACAATGACAATAGCCACAACAATGGGGAATTATGAATAATAATGACTAATGACTTATTGTTCAAGACTTACCTGATTCAGCTCTAACTATAAGCTATATCAAAGAGGAACTTCATAAGCTCTTAAATGTATAAATAAATAGCTCTTAAATGTGTAAAGGGTGTCTGCTTCTTGAACTGAAACTGGAAGCTGGTTCCACAGGAGAGGAGCTTGGTAGCTTAAGGCTACTTGGAAAAGATTAGCAGCAAGTTGTCAATACAGGCTATGGTGCATAGCCTACATGGAGTATAAGCCATCAGCTGTTGCAGGCTGCACCAGCCTCCTGGGTCTCAGCTACCAGCTCAAGATTTTCCTATGCTGGCCAACAATGGCAAAGGCAGAAAGCATTTAACCTGGAGGCCCCAGTGTTGACCCGATTCCACCACTCACAGCTACCAGCGACCAGGCAGGATGACTTGAGAGGGGGGTCCAATATGGCATCCTCTAACCGGCTTGCCTCCCGAATCACTCCTAATAACCAGTGGCAGACTTTCTCTACACCAGATGAGGCCCAGTTCAGTTTAGTTCAGATCAGTTATGTTTATTATCCCAAATGGGAAACTTGATTTGCAGTCAGGGGCACAAACAACGAAAACAAAAAACACAGTAACACCACAAGTAAAAAAAAAAGTGGAGGTGGAAGGCCTGAGTATTTGAAGGAGTCTTGATGCATGATAAGATAAAGCTGAAGAGACTCAGCCCCAAGTCTGTTGTTCCACTGTTCAATCACAAAAGCAGGCTCTTGAATCAGTTTTTGGTGAGTAAGCCACTTCAAGATTTTGTCAACATTATCTGCTGTCGGAAGCCTCTGGAAGTTGTGGATATACATGATTTTCAACAATTCTTCTTTGTCAAAACCTTATCAATCTGAATGACAAGATTCAAAGATCACTTGCTCAGAATCTCACAAGATCACTCGCCACAAAGCCCAAAATAGCTTGTTTCAGAAGAACAGATTCAAGGTTTACAGGAAGGTAAAATGTGATTATTTGGCTTACACTTTCCCATTCTTTACCAAAATCATGACGTAGGAAAAGGAAGCTATCTGCTGATAAAGGTTACTCTGATTCCTTTAGAGGGGTTTGATGCTCTCTCAGACATATGATCACCTTTGCTTCTTGAGTGCTTTCCTCTAAGTCACTCAAAAGACCTTTGACTTGCCCCTGTTTAGTCCTTTTTTTCTTCCGTCTGCAGTATCCAAAAACAGCAAATCGATCACCATAGGATGTAAGATAATTCTCTGTCATGAGGTGTATGGCACTGGAATCAATCTAAAGAAGCAATGTTTTGTGAATTATTAGGTAAAATGTTTTAATTTATTATAATGAGCAACCTGCATATACAGCACAAAATATTTATTTACAATGCTTTTGCAAACGTTTTTAATGTTTGGGTTGTGGTTTGTGAAAATCAAGCATTTCCTATATAAACTACCTTCACCTGTTCCATTCACTGTATGTCTTCCTTAGGCCCATGCCATGACCTAAAGTAATCAATTAGCTGCTCATCCATCCTGCAACTTTCATTGTTATGCAGATGATACCCAATTATATCTATTAATCAAGCCAGATGAAACCAATCAACTAAACTTCAGCTTCAACTAAAGTACAGGAAAACCTGGATGAATTTTCTGACGTTAAACTCGAACAAAACTGTTCCTGTACTTACTCAAACAACTCCAAAACACATTATGTAATCATGTCCTTTAAATCCAATTTAAAACAAACTTCAAGGACCGGGTTTTTTCACCTACGTAACATTGTACATCTTGTCACGAACAAAAGGAGAAAAACTAATCCATGCACTTTTACTTTGGGGCTAGATTACTGCAATGTATTAGACTACCTCAATAAGTCCCTTAAGGTGCTCCAATTGATCCAGAATGCTGTAGAATGTGTACTGACAGGAATGAGGAAAAATTAGTATATTTTTTTCCAAATTAACTTCTCTGCACTGGATCCCTATAAAAAAATAGAATTTAAAATAATTTTCCTCACCTACAAAGCCCATCGTCGTCAGTACCATTACAACCTAGAGCTCATAGTACCCTGTTACCCCACTAGAACAAAGCACTCCCAAAATGAGAGCCTGAGCCTTCAGATTTTAATAAATTTAGTAATAATGACAATTTTAACAGATGCATTAATGTGTTTAATCACAGTTAATTAAGTTTTCAGCTCAAAAAACACATTTTAGGGTGCAGTGCCTCTTTTAATATTAATTAATTAATTAAAATAAAATTTGATTTGCTTGGAATGCTCTGTGTGTGTGTGTGTGTGTGTGTGTGTGTGAGGGGGGACTGCAGATTGTATATTTGGATTTACATCTGTTTTTATGATTGTCTTGATTTCCCTATTTGGGATAATAAAGTTTAAATTGATCGTGGCCTTGGCCTACAATGCGGATTTGCTTCCTGCTAATGTCCCACTCAGGGAGACTTGCAGAAAGAGGCAATGACGACACTGTGGTGAGCAAAGTTTAATTTGCCCTCACTCTACATGTGCTCTAGTCGCT